AGGAGCCGGGGAGGAAGCTAGCAGCGAGTAGTTACCGGCCAAGGGGTGTGGGAAAAGTTAATTGACTTTAATGACAGGTTTCCCGGGACGGCGGTGACGCCGAGGGGGTCCAGTTTAACCCCTGGGTCCCCATTCCAGAAACACGTGGGGTGGAAGGGGGAGCGAGGGGGTGCGCATCGCGGAGTCGCGCTTAGTCACCATTTAGGGGAGGCTCCTTTCTTGACCTGGAGAGCCCCCCCCGCCCCCACTTCCAGTTCAGCGGCTTTCCCGCTCCCGGTGCCAGGGTCCCAGAGGGCCGGGGCCCGGGAGGGTCTCCAGAGAGAGGCTAATGCGGGCGCGGCCCAGGCCCGTGGCCCGCATCCCGACCTGGAGCTTGGGGCAGTGCCTTATCTCCCGGAGCCACCAGCGCCGCCGGGGGCGGGAGAGGGGCTGCTGGGGGTGCCCCAAGGCAGTCCCAGGAATCCTGGTGAGGGTGGGGCAAGACTGAAGTGGTCTTTGAAGCTTCGCCTCGGGCCACTGATTGCTCCAGAATCAGCCTGGGTGCAGGACAGCACAAAGTCTTAGGAATAAACCCACTCAGGTTACGGGTGTAGAATTGTCCCGGAGAAGGGAAGTGACTCGTGCAAAGTGACACAGTGAGTTTAGTAGCAGAGCTGGCATCGGAGCCCAGGGTCTCCCCTTCTCCATACTGTACAGAAACAAATGCCTCATCTAGTAATCTAAACCCATATTTCAGGGGAAAATACCACTTTTATTTTCAAGTGAACAAACGTTTACTTCTTTTAAAAAAACGATTACTACCCTCCCCAAGATACCTATGTACTGTTGATATTAATAAAAATTCACCTTTCCCCCTGTTGTTTCCCTTTAGCACAGGGAAAGACAGACTTAGTTTAAAGTTGGTGTAGAGATTGCAGGGGAGGGGGAGGGAGGGGGGAGAGAATGTAGAATTTTTAAAAACACAAATGTACTTTTATAAAAATGGGACTGATGTCTCCATTGTTCCTGCCAGGACAGTTAAGGACTTGTAGTGGGGCCAGAAGACAAGTTTACCTAATGAAGTATTGGAGCTTGGGTTGGGAGTCTTGATAGAGCAATTATTATTATGTTTGTGTTTAAACAAGAGGGAAATCTTGGAAATTTATGATGAAGAAGGGTGTGTGTGTGTACTAGTATTTATTTGGGCGTAGGGTGTATTGGGCCCTTTTCACATACACGAAATGAAGCAAGTAGAAGCCAAATTTTTTAAAGTATCTTTTGAATCTCTTCCTCTGAGTCTGAAGTTGGATAGGAGGTATCTGAATAGGAAACTAAGCTCTGTCTGCTAGATCGTCCCTTTGATAGAGCTGCTCTCCACACTGGCCTGTGGGAAAGGCCAGAGAAGGCAGGGGAGGAGGTACAGCTTTTGAAACAAGACAGAAAATCGTTGGTTTTATCTTTGTTAGGAAGGCTTCAAAGATTGATCTCTCCCGCCTCATCCTTCTCCTCCCAGAAGCCCT